GCACGCGGCCCCGCCGAATCCCTCCGGCAACCACAGTTTGCCCCCTGTTTCCCTGCTTTTCCCTTTCGTTTCTCCCCCAATCCCCCAAACTTCGCCTTCTCTGCCTCCCCCGGAGATGCAAGGGCCGGCGGGAGCCTCAGCCGCGCGGCGCCAGAGACGCCGCCCCGCCGTGCGACGGCCCCTCAGTGCTGGCGCGCCTCCGCACAAAGCCGGTACGCCGGCAGCCTGAGGATGCCCTCGAGCAGCGCCGGGTCCGCAACGTACTCGCCCGGGTCGCGAACAAACTCACGCATCGGTACGTTGCGGTCCTCCTCCACGCCTTTGCCGGGGCCAAAGTTACTCCGAATAAAGTCGTTCAGCATCGCCTCCCCGACGCGAACACTTCCCGCCAGCAGTAAGTCCTCCACCTCAATGGCGGTGGTGAAGTGCGACAGCTGCTTCAGCTCCTCTGCCCTCGCCTCCGCTATCGCCCTCGCTCTCGCTCTTTCCTCTTCCAGTTTCGCCCTTTGCTTCCCTTCCCGCCGTTTCCGAGCTTCTTCCCGTCCTTTCCATGCTTCTTCACGGTTTTGTCTTTTCTCTTCTCGCCTTTGCCCGTACTCTTGCTCCACCGCCTCGTCAAGGGCTGCAAAGACTTTTCTTTTTGCCCAAAAATTAATGTCGCCCCGACAACTTCTTTCCGACAACCCCCAGAGGGAGAACACCCCTCTCCCACGAAGCGCGCGTGCAGCTTCACGAAAAGCGTGCGCCCGAAACGTCGGCAAAGAGATGACGTCATGGAGAAGATTACAGCTTGTAATGTACTTGCCTGGCTCCAGAACAAACTCCCCCATCGACACATTGCCGTTGGCCTCCGCAACTCCTCTGCCGCCCAATTCGCTGCAGAGGAAGTCGTTCAGCCTCGCCTCCTCGACGCGCACGCTCCCCGCCAGCAGCACTTCCTCCACCGAACTGTCGAGGGTCCACCTCGGGCGCCGCGCTGCGGGTCGCTGATTCGAGTCGCCGCTGCCGGGCCCCGCCCTCCCCCACCGCCGTCCCTGCGGCGCATCAGCCGCCGAATTTCCCTCAGCAGCAGCGTGAATTCCCTCCTCGCGTCTTCCAGACATTTCTTTCTTTTTCTTTCCCTTCGTAGTAGTTGTTGGCTTGCGCTGCAGCTGCACAACAACCGCCAGCCAAAAGAATGCGAGGTAGTGGGAGAGGGAGACAAAAATATAGGCACACAGACACCCGACCCCACGCAGCCACGTTCAGCAACAGAGAGAGAGGGCCGTCCACACGGTGCGGGGCACACGTTTTGTGGCCCGTGTGCAGGAGGACGAACTCAACGAGCTCTCCTGATTCTGTGCGGCAGGGGAAACCGGCGCGTCTCTTCCTTCGCATCGCGCCCTGTCACTTGCGCGGCACCTCTTGCACCACCGCAGTTGGCAGCTGGCCGTTCTTCCGCATCGACTTGTCGAAGTTGCAGCGCAGAGGCGCCTGCCGGCGCAGTGCGTCATAGTCATCGTCCTCATGGCGAGTAGCGGCGGCAGCAGTAATAGCGACAGCGCGCTGTGGAGTGGACGGCGGGGGGCTCGTGTGCATTATTCTTCCTGGTTTGAGTTGAATAGCAGCAGCAGTGGCAGTGACGGTCTGCGCCGTGGTGCGTTTGTCTGAGTTGCAACTGAGCTGCCCGAAGGCAAGAAGAGGAGGGGTGCGGGGCCCTGAAAGGGATGCCAGACTGCCTCACGCGGCACCAGAGTCTGCGTGCACTTCACTTGCTTGCGTTGCACCAAAGTCGCTCGGCGCGAGGCAGTGCAAACATTGGGCTTGGAGCACAAACAGCCTCTGTTTGTCCTTCATTTCCAGCGGTGGGGTGGGTGGGAGTGTAAGACAAAAGAAACGCCCTGGCAGCGCGTGCATTCCCAACGCAGAAGCAGGAGATGGGATGATGCGGCTGAAAACCACGTAGGATAGTCGAAGCATCGGGCGAAGAGGGAAGAAAGCCCCTCTAAAATACAAAAAAAACAAGAACAAAAGAAAAATAAAGATAACAATAGTAGCAGCAGCAGCAGCAGTGATGCTGCACTGCCCTGCTTACGTTCCGCGACTGCGAATAACGGCGAAAGAAGGCCTGCCGTGTGAACAAAGCGTATACTGTGCAACGGCCGGCAGTGCGTCGATGAGTTGCTCCACCGCAGCTGCAGGAAGAGAGTCGCCAAACATGACAGCCCCGCGACACGATCGTGTGATTAAAAAGTTGAGGACCGCAGAAGGAAGAACTCGGGCGCCGGCGTTCTGCAGTGCCACATCGCCGTCCCCCACGGCTTCTGCCCCGCCTGCGGCAGGCGACTGCCGCGGTGGAGGGGCGGTGAGAAACTCCTCCACGGTTGCGCGGAGGGTCTCCATGGTGTCCAGGTGTAGCGTGTGCCCTTCGAGTTCAAGGTGAGGCCACTGCGTGACTGCGACGCAGCACCGCAGCGCCTTGGCGTCTCCGGACTCTGCTGCTGCCGTTGCACCTCCACCTCCATCGCAGTGGGGGCTGCCGCGTGCAAAGCCCCACCCCCACTTCGCGAGGACGCGCTCGTAGGCCGTGACATCGCGGCGAATGTCGTCTGGTATCGGGACGTGCAGTGCGACCGACGCAGGGAGGTGCCGCACGTACGACTCTGCGGTCGCCATAAAAAACTCCAGCCGCAGCCGTTCGTGAAGCGCATGCTGATCCACAATGTACAGCGCGGGCGGGAGCGGATGCTGACACGATTGCTGCCGCTGCTGCTTGGACGGGCGCGTCAGCAGCCCCGTCGTTGCCGCGGCAGCAGGCAAAATGGAGAGGGGAGATCTCTTCGCGGCAAGACGAGAGGCTCCCGCACATCCACCGGTATCGCTCATGTGAAGAAGAAGAAACTTGCGGTCCCACTGGGCAATGAAGTGCCTCGCGCGGAAAGGGCAGGGCGAGTTCTCCGCCGCGTCCGCCTCGCCAAGGCCGGGCCACACAGACGGGGCCGCGTAGGCGCGGGGCGCAATGCGGGCGGGGTCAAGCGTCAGCCGCATGGCAGCCCGCACCTGTGGGAGCGTGCTCGCCCTGCAAGAGCCCCCCGCCAAACTCGGCGGGCAAAACGGCGTCCGCCGTGGGACGGATGCCGGCGGGGCGCCGTCGACGAAGCCTGCCCTTGGCGCACGCCGCGCGGCGGAAAGGCGCTGCGTCAGTGACGACACCCGCAGCCCCGCCGCGGCGACGTTGCGGCATCGCAACGCCCCAGCCGCCGCCGTGAGGTCCCCCACGACGGCAAAGGGTGACTCCCTTCGTGGGGCGTGGGGTGTCTCCTGCGGGAGCGTCGCCGTCCCGCAGCGGCAAATGCGCTCCGCCGCGCGAAACATCCTTCGCAGCGCGGCGTCGTCGCTCCCCAGCAGCGACTCCGCCAGAAACACAATCAGCGGGCACAGCGTCGTGAAGCCGTGCGCCACCTGGCGGTACACCCGATGCGCCTCGTCCACCACGTGGCACGCCGTGGTCGCGGCCGACTTGGCGACCACGACGGCGTCCAGTGCGGCGGGGCGGCGGCCCAAACGCCCCGCCGCCTCCTGCGGCCTCCACGCCGGGAGAAGGAAGAGGACGGCGAACTTGCCGGCGTCAACCACCGCCTCGCGAAGCCGCGAAGCCGCGTTGCTGCATGGGGCTTCCAACGGCTCGCTGTGGAGGCGGAGGTGGGGAAAGACGGCGGCGAGCACGCGGTGCGCAGTGGAGAGCGTGTGTGAGGGTTCGCCCGCCTCGCGAACGCCTTCAGACTCCTCTCGCCGCCGCTTCGTCGACCGCGCCGCCGACGCCGCCGCGCCACCCCGTTGCGGGGCGCAGTTCTCAACGTAGACGACGTCGGCGGTGTCAACGGCGGCCGCAGTTAGGCTCCCGCTGCTGCTCAGATGCAGGCAGAGCGAGGTGGCAGCCCCCGCGGTTTCGTGAAGGGAAAGATACATCGGTGCCAAAATGCATTCCACTGCCATGCGGTATGCGGCCGACAGAAGTGCTTGACGTTCCGCGCGAAGGCGGTAGGAGGTGTGGCTCCCGCCCGCTGCAGAACGCTGCCGCACAGGCATGCAGTAGAAAAGCCCACGAACCTCGCAGCGCAGGTGGAGCAGTAGTGGAGGGGGCTGGTGCTCGTTTGCCTGCCGTGCCGCCCGCAGCTTTGCCGTCAATGCGGCACAGACGCCGGTCCAGGGGTCCTCTCCCGTCTCTGTGTCGGCGCCCCTCCAACGCCGCTCAAAGAGTATCTCCAGGCTTTCCCGGGAGCGGGTCGTGTGCCGCGCTCCGCGCCCGCGTCCCGGCGCCGCTTCCACGGCAACACACAGCCGCAATTCTTGACTGACGGCCGTGAGATCTGACAGCCCCGCTGCCGCCCCCCGGCAGTGGCGGGGCGACGCGGCAGCCGCCGCCGCGGCGGGCGACCGATACGCGCCTGCGAGGTCCACGGTGAAGCCCGACGCCGCGGGCGCCGCCACCACCCGGATCTCGTGCGTGGGCCCCGGCGGCGGAAGCGAGCGCAGCAGCTGATATGCCGCCTCCACGGCGACGGCGAGGGAGGGGACGCGGTGCGCCGCGCGGATCCTGGCGGCGTCGCAGGGCGGGAGCAGCGACACCCCCCCGGAGATGCCGTCGCTGTCCATCGCCGCCGCGTTGGCTGGCAGTGTGCCGCTGCAGGAAGAGATAGAGACAGAGAGAAGAAGAGCGGGAAGGAGAGAGGGCATAAAACGCAGGCAAGGAGGAAGAGATCGTGCGCGAAGCACAGACACACACACACGCAGAGAGAGGGAGAGAAGTAAAACATGACACTCACACTCGCACGCCTCTCAGAATAGTTTCATTTCTAGCAATAACTCCGGCGTTACGTAAATTCCTTCCTCGCCCCACCCCCCACTTTCCTTCATTCAATGGAGAGAAGTTTTTTTTTTGTTTGTGTTTATATAACGATGCATCTTCTTTGACTTTAGTGGGAGCTTTCAGGCGGGGCTGATCGCAGCTCAGTACTCCTCGAGGGACAGGATGGACACCTGAACGTGCTCGATTGGGTCGCAGAAGTTTGCAGTGTACTGTTGTTGCGGGCCCTCCCCCTCGTCGCCCGCCGCTCGCCGGTGTGGCCGCAGGGGCCTGGCAGAGACACGCAGCGGCGTCTCGGAAGCGGCGCCGACGTTTGCCGGCGCCGTGAAGCGGCAAAGCGGCTGGACGGCGAGGCTCACATCCAGCCGCGTCAGGGACTGCGTCCCGGCCGTCCACGCCCCCGTGGCGGAGCGGCTGTGGGCGCACGTCTTCGCTGCGGCGTCAAAAAGCCCCACGGCACCGCGTGCGAGTTGGTGGGTGCGTAGGAAGTGCTCTCCAGTGCAGCGCGGCGGCGGCGGTCTCGCGTCAGCCTGCGCGAGCTCGCTCTTGAGGTACGGCGCGAGGTACGGGTGACAGCTGGCCTCGCCCGGCGTCAGGCGTTTGCCCGGGTCCCACGTCAGGCAGCCAAGCAGAAAGTCTAAAAGCAGCGGCACCACCAACGTCGCCGCCCCGCCGTCGTTCTCGCAGGCGGTTATCGATGCCGGCACCACAGGCGGCCCAAAACCAGCGTTGTCTGCATCGTCAGGTTTTTCTTCCGCTTTTTCCTGCGGCCGCCCAGGCGTCGTCGCATCCTTCTTCTTCTGGAAATGAAGGAGCTGCAGGAGATTGTGTGCCTGTGCGGGGCACCGTTGTGCGTCTCGCGCCGCCTCCACCTGCAGGGAGGCGAAGAGCGCCTGCAGCTGCCCCGCGCCAGTCTCCTCCTCTTCTGCAGAAGAGGAGGAAGAGGAGGTGCGAAGCGCCTGCAGCTGCCGAACCGCCTCCGCGGAGGGCGCCCCGAGCACGGCAACTTGACGCCGAAGCAGCTCGCCGTCGGAGTTGGCGCGAAACAGCGGAACCCCGGTGGCGGTCTCGTACACGACGCAGCCGAGGGACCACATGTCGATGGCGGGGCCGTGGCGCAGGCGCAGGGCCACCTCCGGGGCACGGTAAAAGATGGTCTGCAACCGGCCGCCGCACGCGCGGCCCAGGTGGGCCGCCCCAAAGTCGATGAGTGCCACGTGTGAGGTGACCACGTCGGCGTCCGTGTCGGTTTCCGCTTCGGCGGCGGGCGCCGCGCCGTGCGCCGTCCGCGACTGCGGCGAGGATGCGGCCTGGACGGAGTCCGGCACCGAAGCGTCCCCACGACCCTGATCCCCGTCAGCGTCAACGGCGTCCCGCGCCTGCTCCTCTGGCGACATGCGCCAGCGGAGTTCGGGGGGGACGGCGGCGTCGTGCGGGCTCCGATCCACGAGGGCCACGTTCTCCAGTTTCAGGTCGGCGTGGGTCATGTTGACCTCCGCGAGGAGCTGCAGCAGCGTCACCAGTTGGGCGGTTACGGCCTGCGTGAGTGCCGTGGGCAGCGGACGGAAGAGGTTCACCCGGAGCAGCGTCTTTACATCCAGCCCAAGCAACGGAAGCACGAGGACTTCGTGTGCGCGGAAGAGCAGACGCCCCAGCACCTGCGGAATCCACATCCGCGCCGCCGGCTTGCGACGCCACAGCAGCTCCAGCATCGCGGCCTCCCGCCGCAAGACTGCGGCGTAGCAGGGGGTACTGCGCGCTATTTTCAGCGCACACTGCTGTGGCGTGGGGCGGGTCGCATGGTCAAGGGCTCGCACCACGACCCCGTACGTGCCGCTGCCGAGGACGTCAAGAAGCTCGAAGCGGTACCCCACGTGGTCGCCAGGGGTGATGCGGTAGTTGTTCTCGCAGTCGTCAAAGTCCGGCGGGGCGGAGCGCTGCCTCGCGGGCGTTGCCGCCCCTGCCACCGGCGCCGCACCGTGAGCGTGTGCTCCGCAGTAATACACACGCGGAAACCCAAAGATTTCCCGCTTCTCGTACGCACTGAGGTGAGCCCCGCAGCATGCCAGGGCCTCCGCCGGGGTGATGGGCAGCTCGCTGCGTCGACGCGCCCAAAGCATACAACGGCGGGAACCCCGCAGGTTGCCGCCAAGCCGCCGCGTCGGCGTGGACGTCGACGCCTGCGCCTTTGCCCCCCGCGCCTCGCCCTCAGCTGGTGGCCGCTGCCCTTCGTGGATCGAAGCCCCCCACGTAGGAGAGGCGGCAGCCACGGGCCGCTTCTCGTTGCTAGTCTCCTCCGCCCTGGGCGAGGACTCTAGTATACATGCGGAGGCGCGAGTGCTCCCCGGCAGCACGCACCGCACAGGCGGCGGCGCCGTGGACGCGGCCGCAGAGTTTGGCTTGGCGGTGTTGCACGATGCCGTGTTCGCGTCGCCCCTGCCGCATATAAGCGCCTCCGGGGACGGCGTCAGGCGCCGCGCAGCCCGCGCGGGAGAGCAGGGGGCTTTAGGCCCCGCCGAGTTTTCCATGCTTGCTGCGCCACCCACAGTGAGGAAGGAAGCGAGCGGGGGAGATAGAGAGAAAGAAAGGCAGCAACAACCGCAACACGTGGGCGGTGAGAGCGGCCGCAAGAAAAAAACCAAGAGTCTCCGCCACGCAGACGCACACACACACTGTGTGCGAGAGAGAAAGACATCAGCGAATGGCAGTTTACGCGCGTACACTATAGGCCTAGCAAGAAGCTGTTGCACGCCCTCCAGCACTTGCACAGCATGCTGACAAAAAGCCAGACGACAGACAACAGAAAGAGCGGACCGGCCACGAGTAAGAGCCCCTGCAGCAGCGACACCCGCACCCCGGTGACCCGCATTTCGTCGACGGTTACAATATCCATCACGGCGAGGGCAAAGACAAACGGTGCCGCGAGCAGAAAAAACACCTTCTTTGGGTTTCGGCGGGTGGCGCGGGCCCCAAAGCGTGCGTGGAGGTCGTGGCGATAGTCAAAGTCAGGAAGGTGGCGCGGGGGAAAGTGGTAGTACGGCCGCGTCCACGAGATCCAGCGGACGCCGAGGCGGCGAAGGCGACAGCCGCTACTCTCGGCGTCGTGCCGCGATCCGCCGTACTCCTGCCGCATGCGGGCCCGCTGGTCGCGCTCCCAGCGTGCCAGCTCCAGCGACACCCACCACGCACTGTTTGACACCGCGATGTAGGCGGCCGCAAACGCAGTAAAGCACATCCCGAGGACGACGATGGCCAAGTAGGCCGCGGCCAGGGCCTCGCGGCGGTGCGGAAGACGCGCCTCAACTACCCGCGGGCGGGGACAGGCAGCCTCCCGCCCGCACCCTAGCACGAGCAGCGGGGCATAGTGGTGGCGCACCGTCCCCAGGTAGTTAAACAGGTACAGGGTGAAGAGGGCGAGAAGCAGCTGCAGCGCCGTGAACACATGCAGGAAGACGTATCTAGAGTAAAAGCGAAACTCGCACGACTCGGCGTCATGTGACTGACCCACAGCCGCGTGCTTGAGGCGAAACTGGGGCGTGGTTGGGCATTCCGCGAGGAACGTGAAGGTGTCAACCGCCGCGTCGGCCTCGCAGGCCTCCCAACGAAACAGTGCACTCCCCATCACTCCCGCTCCTGCCCACGCCACACACACACAGAGAGAGAGAGAGAGAGAGAGATAGATAGAGCAGACGCACTAAAACCCAAAAAAAAACGAAAAGGAATAGAACAGTGCCTCGCGTCACACAAAGAGATACGCGCAAGTAATTATATATATATATATATGTGTGTGTGTGTGTGCATTGTAACTGCGAGTCTACACTGGGAGGCCCAACCAACCTGTACGCCAAGAGAAACAAAACAAAAAAGATGCATCCATTTCTTTTCCATTCGGCGCTTCACTTCTCACTCCAGGTGTGTGTGTGTGTGTGTGTGTGTTCCGTGCGTGGGTGGCACTCAGGAGCCTCGCAGGTTTCTGCGCTTCTGCCGTCGCGCATTCTCCTCCCTCCGCAGCTCGTCAAAGTGGCGCTCCGCCACAGCCTCGGCCGAGGGCCCCACAACATCCGCCTCACGGCAGGCGCCGGCAAAGGCGGTTGCGGAGTCCGCGCTGTCACCCCCGCCGGCTTCCTGCTGGAGCTTCTTGCGTCGGTCTCTGGCCACGTTCAGCTTTTTCCGCAAGTTCTCCGCCTCGTACTCGGCCTCCTCAACGCTGTCGAAGAGGCCCAATTGCTTCAGCATGCGGTGGAGCCGCACGTTGCACTCGTAGTCGAGGGCCTTCTTCTGCGTCTGCCACATCTCGCGCCGCTCCTCCGCGTCCACGCCGGTGAACTCCAGCCGGTACTCGTGCCCCTCGGCCGTGGCCACGGCTCCGTGCATGCCGTGCGTTGGCGGGTAGTCCTGGATGCGAAAGAGCGCCCGCAGCGGGGCGGTGTGGTTCACCAGCAGGCTCTTGCAGCTGCTCACCACGCTGATGCCCAGCCACACCGGTGCGAGCTGCGGCGGAAAAAAGTGGGCCACAGCGGCAGGTCCGGCGAGACACTGCCCCAGCAGCACCGCCGCCGCGAAGGCGCCCCACATGAGAGTCATGTGCCGCTGCGTCTGCCGTATCCACGCATCCAGTCCGTCGTTGAAGCCCATACGGCGCTGCAGGTGATCGCGCGTGTTCAGCAGCGTCAGCGTCGCCGCCACCGCCAGCGTTGGATCCACCGTGAGGCCCAACGCAGAGAGACTCACGGGCGCGGCGACAGCTGCGACCCCCACACACTCACCCAGCTGCTGCGCCGGGGTGCACAGGCTGTAGCACGACGCCGCCAGCGCGGCGAGGTGGGGCAGCACCAGGCGCACGTTGTCCGTGTGGTGGCTGCGAAAGATGCGCTCCCGGTCATTTTTCAGCTTTTGCGCAGCGACCCGCTTCTCCCACAGAATCGCACGGGGGTGGTCGACGATCGCCTTGTACTCGTGATGCGCCTCCTGCAGCTCCGGCAGGGCGCAGGCCACGCGGGCGAGGCAGCAGTCGCCGTAGACCGTCGCCGGGAGGGACAAGGCGCGAAACACGGCGCCCCCGAGGAACAAAACGCCAAACGGGTCAGTTACGCCGAGGCATGCGGCGGCGAGGAGGGCGCCGCCCGCAAGGGCGGTGGAGAATGTCCCAAACCGGCAGGCCTGCGTGCCCCGCAGCATCGTCGCACCCGACAAAAAAAAACGCGGCTGCGATGTGAGACAAAATAGGACTCCGGGTGTGTGTGTCGGTGCGGGGAAATAACCTTCCCAGGGTTTTCCCCGTCCTTCTCCCCCTAGACACGCGCGCGCACACGTAAAGGCTCAAGCAGAAACACAAAAACAAAACGAAATGTCGTCAAGTCCCTGCAGTCAATCACGCAGAGGCAGCCCAACACGACGCCCTACCTAAAAAAAAACAACGATAACACTTACGTCCCCACAGAGGCCAAAAATGAAACAAAAAAAAGCTGAAATGGGCTTCAGTGCCCCAGGTTCCACCACCACCAGCATCACCACCACACACACACACACACGCACTTATTTCCAGATCCAAATTTAGCCACCTCCGTTACCATTCCCAAGCACAATCTAGTGGGCCCTTTTTTTTTCTTCGTTTCTTACCTTTCTGAAGAACAACCGTTTGCGTCGTTAGCAAGGGGGAAGGTAGGTGTGCGGCTCAGGGTACGAATCGATAAGGCAATTGTTTTTCACGCGCGGCAATCCGCGTCCAAAGATGTCCTAAGCTCGTCTCTCATCACGGCGGCGGGGCGCCGCACGCGCATCCTTCGGTGCGCATGTGAAGCTCACCGTCACGGCCGCTTAGCAGCCTCTGCGGTGAAATGCTCTTTCCTTCCTGCGCGGTTCCAGTCTGCCTGCCACGCGTGGGTAATGTGTGTGTGTGTGTTTTGTGCAGCAGCCCGCGGCGCAGAGGATGGGAATGCGTGAAGAACAGAAACCCCGCAAAGACAAAAAAAAAGAGAGAATAATAGAAACAAAATCCACAAGCAGTAGACATTTATTCCCAGGAGTGGGTTGAGCAGCACGCAGCCAGAACACACATGGGGTCCCATCACTTTTCATGGGCCTCACCTCACGCTTTAAACCTCCCTCTTGCGTCTCCCCAGTCAGACATCCTGCATTCCCAACTCCCCACCCCACTCCGCCCCGCAGCCGCAGGAGATGGGAGTAGTGCCACCGCCTGCCGGCTGACCGCGTCTATGCCCGCTTAGCTCCCAGTGCGCATGTCGGCGAACGTCGGTGTGCGCGTGTGTGGGTGTGTCTGGACGATGACGGCCCTAGCGCCGTTGCGGATCGCGCAGCAGGTGAACCACGGCTTCTCTGACGCTCCCACTTCCACTGCTGCCGCTGGTGTAATTGACGCCGGTCTCGTCATCCGCCGTGTTTTTTGTTGGTCCTCGCTGCACTGAAGGGCCATCAAACATGCAGCGATCGAGGCCCTCCCGAAGAAGTCGCTCCCGCCATTTGAAGTCGCGCCGCCGACGCCGTTGCTCCGTCCCTGCCGAGGCCTCGCTGGGTGCACCGCAGCTACTCGCCCCGTCCTCCTCGACAGTCGAAGTCGCAGCTGATGAGGGCGATGATGCCCGTCGTGTGTGCGGTTGCGTCAGCGGCTCCCTGTGTTCTGCGAGGAGCTGCTCCAGCACCGCCTCTGCGTCGGAGGGCCCCAGTCGACGGTCATTGCCGCGGCGGCGCAGGCCGCTGACGCCGCGAATCTGCCTGCAGGAGTATTCCTGCGGGTTTCGCTGGCCGAAGACGGCACCTCCGTCGGCCGTCGCAGGAGGGCCTGACTGCAGCTCTTGCCATTCCTTGCTGCACTCCGGCGCGGCCGGCGCCGCATCCTCCTCCTGCTCTAGCCACGCAAGCGGTTGTGCGAGGAGTCGCTGAAGTTCATGCAGTTCTTCATTCGCCGCCTGCCGTGCGGCGCCGACTTTGCCGCCGCGGTGGGGATCGCGTGTGCCTTTGACGCGTGTTGCCAGCGTCCGTGCAATGGCGTCGCCGCCCTGCAGCAGTCGCCGCACCTGGCGCAGGAACCCCTCGCGCTGGTGGGACCAGTGACAGAGCGCCATCGCGCACTCCTCCGTGAGCGCGTCTATCTTTTCATCGAGGCCGCCCAACTCGCGCTGGAGCTCCTCCACCTGCCTGCGCTTCCGCTGCCGCTCCTGCTGCATGTGAGCCAAGGTGGCGTGGAGCGTGTCGCAGTGCGCCGCCTTGGGCCGCACGTACTCCTCCTGAATCCGCGTCACCAGCGCACGCGCGTCTCGCTGCAGGGCCGCCGGAAGGTACTGGACCGCCGCGGCCAGCGGGACCCGGTTGTGGCCCGTGTGGGGACCCACCAGCAGGGACAGGCCGCTGCAGGTCGTGTGGCAGCTGGTGCAGTAGTAGTCCTCCACCTCCCCGGGGAATATGGGACAGGGCGAGTAAGGCACCTCCGTCATCTGGCAGCGGCGGAACTTCTCTTCCTCTCCGCCTTCCTGTGTGTGCGGAGACTGCGGTGGTGCTCCTCGCGCCGGCGTCTCGTGCGTCCAGACGCCTGCCCCCTTGCCTTCTCCCGTCTGTCCTACTTCCGCCGGCGCGGTGCACCTCTGCCCCGGTACCTATGCACTTGCGTGTGTGTCTGTGTGTGCGTGCGTGCGTGCTCGCCAGGTCTGTGACGGCGCCCGACGCCCTCTTCTATGGTGTCTGCTCTATCCGCTTCTATGCCGATGCGTGGCGGCTGCAGGTTACGACAACAAAATAAATTAGTCCCCCCCAATCTCAGAGAAGACAAACACACACACACACACACAGACACAAAAGCAGCAGCAGCAGCAGCTAGAAGGGGAAATACACACACACACACACAAAGAAGAATTCCATACAAAAACACGATGGGAATCATGATGCCGTCCTCCTGCGCTTTCGCCGCGGGGCGCCCGTCTCGGCCTCGTCGCCGTCACAGACGGCGGTTATGGGTGGCGTCCGGGGGGGAAGGTGGGGGGGAGGCGGTCGCGTTTGCCCCCGCGGCGCCCAGCGGATGCGGGTGGCGCGGACGGCCATGTCCAAGTCGCTCGTCCCTTCACGCACAGACTCCGTCGAGCTTTGCCACTCGTACGCCCCTCGCATTCGCGTCAACGCCGACTCCAGGCTCTCTTCTTCTGCGTCTTCCGCGTCCGCCTTCCCCGCCGCCGCGGCGGACGGCAGACTTCTGCTGTTTTCCCGCTGCAGCAGTCGCAGGAAGTCCCCCTCAACGTCGTCCACGCGCTGCTCGCAGAAGTTGACCACCTCGCAGTTTGGGTTCGCCGCGAGGATCTCCGACAGGGTGTAGAGCAGCTGCGGCCAGTCCCGCGGGTTGCCGTAGAGAGCGTCGCAGAGCACCACAAGGTCAACGCGGTCCAACGCCTGCTGCAGCGCCAAAAACGACGGCGACGGCGCCGCGTACGGCGATGCGGCCTTCGCCCGCAACCCCGGCGGGGCCACCTCGCTTCGCTGCCGCTTGGACTTCTTCGGCCGCGGCGGAGGCCCCCAGCGCAGCGCGAGTGCAGCGCAGGAGCCCTGCCCGTTGCTGCGCGCGCGTATCCGCGCCGCGTTGAGCTCAATGTTTTTCTGCATCAGCGGCACGAGCTCCTTCAGGTCGGTCACCACCACGCGCGCCCCCGCCATCGCCAGCGCGATGCCGAGGCAGCCGACACCGGCGCCCAGCTCCACCACGCGGCAGCCGGCGAGCCTCTCGCGCCGCAGCACGTGCTCGTGCAGGTAGCGCAGGGCTACGGTGTTGCTGTTCCACAGCACCGCCCCAAGCTGATCCTCGGCGGGCTCCAGCTGCTGCTGCAGCGACGCATCGCAGGCGTCGGCGGTGGCCGCCGAGTCGCCCTCGCCGCCCTCGCCCACGGCCCAGTGCACGGTGGCGACGCCCCCGTACGGGCTCTCCACCTCCTTCACCACCCAGCGGAGCATTTCTCCCGCAGGCAAGTACCGCACGGTGACGGAAAAGGTGGGTCAGGAAGGCCAAGAGAAATGCACGTCAAAGAGGAACAATGCAAAAAAAAATACGCACAGAGACGAGACAGCCATGGAGAAGGAGAGAGGAGGAGAGAGGCGAACACGCAAACAAGAAGAATTATTCTACTTATTAAGTTTCCCTACAGCAAGGGGGAGAAGGAGGTAAAAGAAAAGTAAAACAAAAAAAAGGTTTATATTATACCTTTTTCTTGACGTTGCCCTGATGGCCGCAATATATACCGATGCAATACCAAGTACTGCTAGGTAGCTGGAGCGGGGGGAGAAAGGCCTCAAGAGCGCTGCCTCTTTGTGTGTGCATGAAGAACAAGGAGAGCAACTGAAACACACACACACACACACACACACAGAAAGCGAGATAAATGCCGCGATGGATGCCGGGAAAGAGAATACGCGGAGAGCAGCACAGGTAGCGCAGGACACGTGCTTACTGTGAAAGCCGCATGGAGCGGTACCGTTCCTGCAGCGTTCGCTCCCTCTGCTCAATGTCGGCCAACCGACTCGTGGCTTCCTGCAGTCGCCGCTGGATTTCCTGCCGCTCGACCGCGCGGAGGTTGCTGTAGAAGGTCAACGCCCGTTGCGCGTCCTCCAGCTTCGCGCCCCAGTAAGCACAGGCGCGATGCATCACGTCACCCCCGCGCAGGTCTCGTCTGTCGCCAGCAAAGCAAATGCGCACGATGCGCTCCAGGCGCTGGTACTCCGCTGCATCCTTCGCGGCTGCCGCCGCCACCTGCTCGCGTTGGTGGTGCACAAGTTTGTCCAGCTGCACCGTCGCCTCCGTGGCGCCAACTTCCTTCCAAAGCTCCGCACCCTCCGCCTGCTGCACCGCCGCGACACACGCCGCCAGCCTGGCGCCGAGATCCGCCGCCTCTGCGTTTCGCTCCGCGTCGGTGCTGCCGCGGCCGTCGCCACTGCCAGGCGGCACCTGCTGCGCCGGCGGCACGTCTATTGCCCCCGACGCGTCGAGGAGGTCCCGCGCGGTGGCGGGCATCTGCTGAACCACAAGCGCCCGCACGATACAGCGCGTGCGTTCCTCGTCGTCGTCGCCCGCCTTCGCCTCCGCCTCCGCCTCCGCTTCCGCTTCCGCTTCCGCCTCCTCCCCGTCCGCAGGCGAGGAAGTGTCGCGGCGGACGCGCTTGCAGTTGATAAAGGCGCGTTCGGCCTCTACAGACACCAGCCGCTTCGCCCTTCGGAGCCACATTTGCCCCTCCTCCGAGGAGAAAACCAGCGCCTTCGCGGGTTCAGCCGAGCGCTTACCCGAAGACACGGCGTAGGAAACCTCCGGCTCCTCCTCCTCCTCTTCCTCTGCTTCTTCAGCGGGAGCCGCCGCCGCCGCCGCCGTAGCGACCTCGTCCTTTGACACACTGCTGCCAAGCACAGGTGCCGGCAGTGCGCCGAACAAGTCATCTGCCGCCGCAGCCGCCGCCACAGCAGGCGGTTGCTTGGGCGCCACCGCATCCGGCAGCGACGCGAAGAGGTGGTCAAGCGCAGCTGTGGTAACAGGCCCACCCGGCGCAGCGCTGCCCTCGCTGGCACTCGGCGGCGTGCCCTTCCTGTCCTCCAGTCGATGACCCGCCGGGCTGCCGGAGACGCCGCTCGCCAGGCGCAGCAAGTCCACGTTGAGGCCTTCAGACACCGCGACCCCTTGCTGGAGATGCGCCTTATCTGCCGCGAGGTTCTTCACCAGAACACGCTGCTTCGCCTGAATTCCGGCCTCTTGCTTGTCTGCGCCGAGGTCAATAGGGCGGAACGCGCTCTCTTGGCCGAGCTGCGCCTCATCGCCGCTGCCGCCGTCAGCGTCGTCCTCAAGCGTGTCATCCTGCAGCCGCGTGTCGCTGGGCCCCGCGCGGTCCTCCAGCATAGCGCGCTCCATGCGCTTCTTCGCCTTCGCCGTGAGTGTGCCGGACTCAATGGCCTCGCGATTGCTCTGCAGCTTGGCGAGGAAACTGGTGTGCTGCAGCTGCTTCTTGCGCTCCTTGCGCAGCCCCTTCTTGCCGTCCTGGTTTGCCAGGCGGCTCACGGCGAACTCCACCATCTCCTTCTCAAAGACGTCCGAGTTGACGGCGTCGGAGCGGGCCGCTCGCGTCTCATGGCCCTGGTGGTAGGCGCGTTGCCGCTTGCGCTCCGCCAAGAAGTCCTCCAGCGTCAGCGACTCATTCCGTCTGCGACCGCCGCCCTCCCGCTGCTGCCGCTCGTACTCGAGGGCGTCGAGGAGGGCGTGGTAGTGCTCTTCACAGAGCCACGCTGGGCGGTTCATGCCACCGCGCCGGCGCAGCTCGCGGGCGATGAGGTTCCACTGGCCCGGGAAGAGCGACTGCAGCTGCACGAGGTGCTCCTCCTCCTCCGCGGTCCACGCCTCGCGGATGTGCAGGCGGGGGTCGAGGTAGCTCTCCCAGCGGTCGCGGCACTGCGCGGCGGTCTTGCGCACCAGCATCGACGCCACCCGCTCCCAGTTCTGCAGCCCGTACACCGTGAGTGAGGCCCGCAGCACCTCATCCTCGCTGTTCGTCCACGCCCCGCCCTTGAAGCGTATCCGCGACATCTCTCTTCGGCCTCTGTGCCCCCCGCTTCCTTCCTTCCTTACGCTCTCTCGCCCTTTTGCGCTCCCTGCACGTGAAAAGGTGAGACGGCGGTGCACGGCGCAACGGCGCACGCAAGCCCGAAGAAGTCAACGACGCAGCGATGTGAGGGAGAAGGAAGAGGGACGTCGAAAAAAAAAAGAAAGGAAGCGTGCCACCAGCAAGCAGCTGGCAGTCGCCGCAGCACGGTTTGGAAACAACCGAAAGAACAATAATAATAATAACAGTAAAAGAAAGCAAAAAACAAAACAAAACAAAAAAGGGGAAAGTATTCACACACCGTCAAAGCTGCTGCGCCTGGCGTGGGGGTCCAGTGTGCGTGTAGGTATCAGCGTAAGGTGTAGCTGAAAGGCATACATGCATACAAAAGATAATGACGTTACAACCATCTCACCGCGAGTGCAGAATCCTTTTTTCTTTTTTCTTTTTACTTTCCTTTTCTTTTTCCTTTCCTTCTTAGCCTCTCAGATGTCTCGGAACTCGTTCTGGAGATTGCGGCGCCGTGCAACCGCCTCCACGCAGGCTGAGAGCTCCTCTGGCACCTGCAGCGAGGGATCGCGAACAAGTAAAAGCATACGGCGTATATCTGCATCACGGACTGCGCTGTTGCCCGTTCCAGCAGGACGCTCCCGCAGGCGCCGCAGTTCCTTTTGCCATTCCCGCATGATGCGCCCGTAGAAGTAGTAAATAACATCCTCCTGGCAGAGGCCTAGGCGCAGGCAGAGGTCGAACAGTTCATAGTCAATGGGCGGAAGGTGGGGCATGTGCGAGGAAGTGCTAGGGTAACGTGCAATCGCCCTGGCGCTGATAAGCTGGTTCTGCGCCTTTTCAGCGCTGCGAAGGACAGGAGCCTCGTGTTTGCCCGTCACCGATGGCGCAAGCTGCGACGGGAGGTTCTCATGCTCCTCTGCAAGCATCGGCGAGCGCAGCCGCGTCGCCGCCGTCGCGCCCGCCATGTTGGGCCGCGCGGGGCGAATAGGCCACTGCACCACCTCTGCAAGGGCAGCGGGCGGCGGTGCGGCGGCTTTACCCGTCGTCGCGAGGATCGTCTCCTCCTTTGCACTTTGCGGGGCCTCCCGCTCCCACTGCGGCGCCTCCGCGGTGCTGCTTTGGCGGCGGAGGTGGTACGCAATGTGCTCCTCCAGCGGCAGCACGTAGTTGCTGCAAAGGCGGGCCTTTTCCCGCAGCTCCTCCTTCAGCCCGTCGGAGAGCTCCAGCGTGAGAGTCACCTCCATCGCCGCTGTCGTGGCGCGAAGCTGGCGGCACTCGCGCAGCGCGGCCCCCACGCTGTCGCGGAACAGGTGCCGCGGGGTCTCCAGTACGTAGCGGGGCGGGGCATTGCCGCCCCCCGCGGCGGCATGACTTGGCTCCACCTCCGCTGGCGCCGCCGTGTGCCGCCGCTGCCCGCCCGTCCCCGCTGCCCTGTCGCACCGCGGAAACGGGTCCAGGTGGGAGTGCGACTGCACGGCGAAGGCCACCGTCGGCGAGTCCAACTCGCCCTCCGGGAAGAAGCGGGAGAGGCCGTGCACGGCCCGCCTCTCGTCCGTGCCGCTGCGCCCCCCACCCTCCGCTGCCGCCAGCTGACGCCGCCGCAGCTCCTGAAACGACTGCGAGTTTGCCACCACGGGCTCCACCGGGGAGATAAACGCCACGTCAATCGACTGCAGGATGGCGCCGCTCCAGAAACTCACACCCTGCGCCGCCGACTCAACGTCCAAGACAAACAGCATCCCCGGCGAGGCGGAGGCGGGAGCAGCAGCGGCGGTAATTCCCGTGGCGCCACACCGGAGGCCCTGCACCTCGCCCATCGTGCCCGGCGATGCCGCCGTGACCACGCCGAAGGGATCCTCCTCCTCCTCCTCCGCTGCCGCCGCCGTGTCCCGCACGTGTGGACCATTCGCATCGCCGTCGACAGCCTCTCCGCGATGCTCGGGCGCGCCCAGGGTGCCGGGCAGCCGCAGTTCACTCATGGAGAGCCCACGCTGCACCTCCCATGGAAGAACCGCGGTCCAGAGCCGCAGCGGAACACGCCGGGTGTACGTGTCCCCTGCGCCCCCCTGCGGCGAGGGCGGCGGAGCAAACCGCCGCGACGGGTGCACCGTCACGCACAACGCCGCGGGGTGCGTCGTCTTCTCCTGCAGCTGCAGCTTCTCCGTGTAGTGGTGCCAATCTCGAAGCACCCGCCGGAGCGCCTCCAGGTCCCTCGTCACGGGAAGCGTGACGTGGCTCCTGGCAATGTCGAACACGGACCTCATCGCCTCGCAGTGTATGGGGAAGTGGAACGCCTTGCCGCTCCTCTACTCGCGCCGCCCCACCACCGCCTTCGCTGGCCCGCGGCAACGCCGCACGGGAGACAACCGAGGTGCAGGGACGACAAAAAGAGATGAAGGAAGCAGGAAAGGCAAGAAAACAACATAGCGCACCCCAAGCAGAAGGAGCTGGAGGTGTGTATATGTACTATAATCGCAGATACAACGGCAATAAAAAACCCCCTCGTCTCTCTCTCTCTCTCTCTCCACTGTACGCTTCCTTCCCCGGCTCTACCCAACTATTCTGTTCTCGAGAATAAGGCTCTTGACGTCAAGAGTACCGCCCCACCTCCTGGGGGTTTCTTCCTATCCGGCAACGTCTCGAGCCGGCTGTGTTTTTTTTTTTTTCGCTTCTTCGTTATTCTTTTTGCATCCACTCCCCTTCCGATTCCCCCCAATGAATTTACCAAGCCCTCCTTCAAGCCTTGCAGGAGACGGTGGGCGGCGAGTGCAGGTACCCAGTGCCACGGTCCCCCCCCCCGTGCGGCACCGCCGGTCTGCTTCCCGAAGCCAATTCGGGCCACTGCAAACGTGGATCTGCGCACATCCACCATCACAGGGACGAAGCCAACAAAAATGGTGGTGGATTACAAAACACAGATGCACGCAAGTATGCAAAAAGAAAAAGAAAACAATGGGACACATATACATATACATATATACATGTCTGTGTATACGTATATACATAGCTGCGTATGTATATAAACTTAGCTTCCTTTTCTGTTATTGTTGCTTTTTTAATTCTTCGTTCCCGTTCCCCTCCCCGTCTTTTTATGGCGCGGTGGGGTGGGGGGGGAACGACTAATTGCTATTTTCACCTTCACAGCTTTGAGATGTCGTGGCTGCCGCTCTCCCGCAGTCCGGATCCCGTCATACGCACGAACTTAGCCTTCGCGTGCATCTCCTTGATGCTGCAGGCACCACTGTACGACATGCCCGAGCGGAGGCCGCCGACGAGCTGCTGCAGGATGGGGGCCAGCGGCCCCTTGCAGGGCACACTACCCTCCACCCCCTCCGGCACCATGTCGGCGAAGGTGTCTTCGTCCAGCGTGCGCTCGCGCTCTGCTTTGCTGAGATTGGCGCCAAACCCCGCCATGCCGCGGATGATCTTCACCTTCTTGCCATCCTTCACCAGCACGCGGCCCGGGGCCTCGTCGGTGCCGGAGAGCAGGTTTCCAACCATGACGGTGTCGGCCCCCGCCGCGATGGCTTTGCAGATGTCTCCCGCCGTTTTTATTCCTCCGTCGGCGATGCACGGGACGCCGTGCTTTCGCGCCACCCGCGTGCAGGCCAGCACGGCGCTCAGCTGCGGCACCCCGGAGCCGGCGACGAGGCGGGTGGTGCAAATGCTGCCAGGCCCCACCCCAATCTTCAGGCCGTCGGCGCCGGCGAGGATGAGCTCCTCCGCCGCCTCGCCCGTCGCAATGTTGCCGGCCACGATGTCAACCTTGTTTGTGCGCGGGTCGGCCTTGAGCCGCTTGACCATGTCGATGCAGATGCTGCTGTGGCCGTGGGCAATGTCCACCACGAGCACGTCGGCGCCAGCCTCGACCAGCCTCGCGGCGCGCGTCATATCGTCCTTCTTCACCCCCACGGCGGCGCCCACGAGCAGGCGGCCGCGGCTGTCGAGGGACGCGTGCTTGTTCTCCGTGAGCTTCACCACGTCGGAGAGGGTGACAAGGTACATGAGGGAGTTGTCCTTCCCGAGAATCGGGATGTTCGACGTGCGGTGCCGCCGCAGCATCTCCCGCGCCTCCTCCAGCGTCACCCCCAGATTCCGCGACACCACCAGCCGCTCAAGCGGGGTCATGAGCCGCGACACCGGCTCCCCCGGGGGAGCAAAGACCAAATCCTGCCGTGTGATGATGCCAAGCAGCTTTCGCGAGGAGAAGTTGTCCACGACCATGAGGCACCCGACGCCGCCTTTCCGGCCCTTCCACTGCAGCCCCGCAAGCGCCTCCTCACCCGTCTGGTGGGCCATGATCATGCGGGGGTTCTCAATCAGGAAGGACTGTGCCCGCTTCACCTTGGACAGCATCGCACACTGCTCCTGAACGCTGCAAAAGCGGTGCAGGATGCCAATGCCGCCCTCGCGGGCCATGGCGATCGCTGTCTGGTGCTCACACACCGTGTCCATGTTGCTCGCCACAATGGGGATCTGCAGCTTTACATTGCGCGAGAGGCGAGTGCTGGTGCAGACGCTCTTGCGGGAGCGCACCGGACTCATTTGTGGGACGAGCAAGACGTCGTCGTAGGTAAGCGCCAGCGGGAAGGACGGCAGGCTGCTGAGCGACATTCTTTCTGGAATTATTGTTCACGTTGACGCAGTGCTTGTGGTGCCCGCAAGCGGCCGTGAGGCGTTCGCGCCCGCCAGAACAAAAACACAAAAAACACAAAAGAAAAACAACAACAAAAGTCACATCATGCACGCACGCGCAAGAAGAGGAGGTGCTGCAGGCAATGAAAAAGCCAGACACGCCACGCAACACAAACACGGGCGTCGTGCGTCTGTGGAATTCGGGGCGGGGGGTGGGGTGGGGAAGTGAAAAAGAGTGAAAGAGAGAAAGAGGGCGAGGGAGTGGAGGAGGTGCCGCAGAGGCTTGTCCCTGCCCACGCATATTCCCTACCACAACAAAGTCGGCCCATGCCTCGCTCAGCTCACGGGACTTCCGGGGGAGGAGAAAACAAAAAAAAAGTGCAGGATGTAGGAATTGTCTCTCTCTCTCTCTTTCTCTCGCTGTGAGTGTGTGACGCCGGCTCCCTGCCGCCGTCGCCGCCTCCTCGTTTGGCGGGCGGGAGGAGGAGCCGCGTGCGACAGCGACATCGCAATGCTGACCCTTGTCGTGTGTACGTTTTTCACTAGACGTATGGCTTTGTTTTGCCATTATTATTATTACTATTATTGTTATTATTATTATTATTATTAATTTTTCCCCCTCCCTTTTCCCTTTCCTTTCGTTTTTGTTCTTTCCTTTTTCCCCCCGATTTGTTGTTTGATTCCTCCTACGGGCGCACGTACCACTCCAGCGAGGCGGTCGGCGGCGGCCGGAACGACTCCAGCGC